GCCAAGGCTACTAGGCTGCAGGCCATTACTACTAGTAACAAGAAGCTTCTAGTTGGAGGCCATTGCTATTAGGGTGGAGGCCAGTACTACTAGCAACAAGAAGCTACTAGGTGGAGGCCATCGCTATTAGATTGGAGGCCATTACTACTAGTATCAAGAAGGTTCTAGGTGGAGGCCATCGCTGTTTGGTTGGAGGCCATTACTACTAGTAACAAGAAGCTACTAGGTGGAGGCCATCGCTGTTAGGTTGGAGGCCGTCACTACTAGTAACAAGAAGCTACTAGGTGGAGGCCATCGCTACTAGGCTGCAGGCCATTACTAGTAACAAGAAGCTACTAGGTGGAGGCCATCGCTATTAGGTTGGAGGCCATTACTACTAGTAACAAGAAGCTACTAGGCCATTACTACAAGAAGCTACTAGGTCGAGGCCATCGCTATTAGGTTGGAGACCATTACTTCTAGGCACAAGAAGCTACTCGGTGGAGGCCATCGCTATTAGGTTGGAGGCCATTACTACTAGTAACAAGAAGCTACTAGGCGGAGGCCATCGCTACTAGGCTGGAGGCCATTACTACTAGTAACAAGAAGTTACTAGGCTGGAGGCCATTACTACTGGTAACAAGAAGCTACTAGGTGCAGGCCATCGCTACTAGGCTGGAGGCCATTACTACTAGTAACAAGAAGCTACTAGGTGGAGGCCATCGCTACTAGGGTGGAGGCCATTACTACTAGTAACAAGAAGCTACTAGGTGGAGGCCATCGCTACTAGGCTGGAGGCCATTACTACTAGTAACAAGAAGCTACTAGGTGGAGGCCATCGCTACTAGGGTGGAGGCCATTACTACTAGTAACAAGAAGCTACTAGTAGGGTTGGTTTGCTCCATCCCTTTGGAACGGTTTTGACCGGTTTCGACCTCGGTGGAGTCACCGCTGAGGCCAAGCCCCTACGGTGCCGAGCGAAAGGGGGCGTGACGCGTGACGTGTGACGACAGGAACGGGACGAGGAGAGAGTCAGAGCAAGAACGATTCAAGTTCATCCTGTTAATAGTAGCGTCCTTGCTCCTAGTAGATTCAAGTTCATCCTGTTTTGGGGAGCCCCTTCCATAATTAGTGATGAGAGTTTCTAATGAATGTGTGTTTGTTGATGCCCTATGTTTTTGTGTTGACCACCGCCTCTTGCGATTGCTGTAAGGATCACAATAACACTAGGCCACCTAGGCCCCCTCATGTACCCCCGTTTGTGCCCAACTGATCGATGGAATAGTTGACATGTGCTTTTTGAAGTGACACTTCGTTTGACTACTTATATACATCCAGTTCCTAAGTGTCCCAGTCGGGCGCTTTTGGTGAAGAGCCGGTACGTATACCATAAGGATTGTTGCAGTGAAAGATCAAAGCACCACTCACGGACGGGCCAGCTTGTGCTGCATCATTTGATAAGGCATCAGACGGATGAACATGATGAGCAAAACCGTGTTTCTGAAAGTTGCCGTCCTGGTTGTCCGCATGCAGCCCGACACCATAGCATCCTTGTTTAGTTAGCTAAACCATGCATGAATATGCAAGATGGTTTGCCGTCCATTGTCTTCTCCAAAGAGCTACAAGAAACCACTTGACCAACGTTGGAAAATGATCCAAGTCAGCACGTAGATCTCCTTTTAGCGGCAAGGTTCTCCATCCAATCCATTCAACACATCAACACTAAAGAGGAGCTGGAGTTCTCCAAAGCGACCAAACAGGCAAGAAACAGCGCCTGACAAGCAACACACAGGCTCAGGCCGCTCAGGCCCAGGAGATGGAGAAACTGGATCGTCAGGACGCAGATCGTCGTCTGGTTCTTCTTCAGTCCGAGTCACACGATGCTGCCGCGCAGTGTCTACACACCTTTGGTGTTCAGTCTCATACAGGCATCAATGCCTGGGCCCACATACCGAAGTGCTGCCTAAGGACGAAGTTGCAGATGACAGCAGCAATGACAGCAGCTGACGATAAAACAAGCCGTTGATTGAAGTTAAGATAACATGTTATTTCTCAGTACAGACCAGGCCCACAGCTTCCGCCTTTAAGCCACTAACCTCCAAGAAGCTGAACATGTGAAAAGCACGAGCACGGATTCTGAGAGGATTCGTCCCTCAAACATCAAGTCGCTCGAAGCCACGCCCCTGTCGGAAGTCGCTCCTCCCTGTCCTTCCACAAGTCGCTCTTCCGCCTTGGCCCAGCCGCTCCAGGTGAGGCCAGTTCAATGGGCCAGTTCGGCGCTGGAGCGCCGCAGGTGCGCTTCAACAGGTTCGTTCAATGGTCTCAAGTGCGAATATCAGCCGGCAAAATGCAACCGCTTCTTCTTCAAAATGCTTTGTTGGATGTTCTGCTAATAGCTATAGTATGCTATAGTGTATAGATAGTAGACAAAACCACGTTGCGCCCAGTTCCTCTCTGCCGCTGAGTGTTTTACTACTTGTTTCACAGCGGAACCGCGACAGAACCGCGTCCACTCCCAGGTCGGTGGGTCACTGAACGTGAAAGAACAGAATTACTAAAATCAGAAGACGTTCACCTGGTTCATCGTCGAGGTAGCGATTGGTGAGTTTTGTCATCAAATCAGGAAAATCACCAGCTGCAACAGCTGACACTCAAAGTTAAGGACATGATAAGATATTATTGTCAATCCAAGGTTCGACTCCCAAACAAGGTCTGAGTTTTCTTGGCGACACGGTTTTTCGACGATATCGTTTTCGCACCTACCAGTTGGTCACGAGGGGTCAGGCGGAGGGTAACCCGGGTAGTTCAAGGATCAGTTGCAAGACAAATCGTTTGTAACCTCATCCACTGACAATTCCAAGTTTGCCAGCGACATTAGGGGTTTGTCCATTTTCATAGGTTTGAAACGAGTTCTGGACCAGTCAGGGAAGATTTGTCACTTTCTCGTGCTTTCCTCTACAAGAACGAGCTGACACATCAGCAATGAGACTTTGGACGGGTGGTCCCTAGTTGAGTCTTTCTGCAGTTCATATTTCCATGAGAAAGGGCGATGGCCTTCTTCTCGCCAAAGCTGGTTGGATCCACAGGGACTGCAGGTTACTGACGTTTTCAGTGGATGCGGACTTCTTCCAGTGAAAAAACTGCAGTGTCAGAGACTCCCAAAAAGAAGGAAATGCCACTGGGCCTTTTGGTCTAGCTGCCTCTACAAGGGGATTCCAGGGATCTTTGAGATCCGCTCAGGTTGGGGTCATTGCTCAGACTCGAGCCGTGCACCTCGCGTTGGTGAAACGACACGCGAGTTGCGATGCACCCGTGCGCCGAACGTGCGTTGACGTCAGCTGATGAAGCATGACCTGGTGGAACAGGTCAAGTCGCCCGGGGTCCCAGGAAAGGCGGAACTTGTTACTACTAGTAACAAGTGCATCGCTAGTAGTAACAGGTGCCTTACTAGTAGTAACAAAAAGCTATTAGAATTAAACTAAAATTAGATCAAATTAAGGCACTTGTTACTACTAGTAAGGCACTTGGAACTTGTTTGACCAGGATTATTTTAGAATGCTTTTTTGGGATGTGCTGAAGTATTGCAAGCCTCTCTGCGTAATTTGAAGTTTCAATCATTTTATATATCGATGGAATCCCTAAGCCTACAACTAGTCCTTTTATTCCCCTCCCACCGATGCCAGAATTTGTCCTTGGGAGTCATTCTGTACATCCTGAGAGACTGGATTTGGGTCCAAAAGGAGGTTGGAAACGATGTCCAATGCAACTTATGAGGGCATGTACCTTTCAATAATCAAACTGATGGATGTTCATGGAGCTGTGTTAGCCACTGGGTGATACATGGTGATACTATTTCGAACAGGGCCCGGCAATGAATTTGCGGTGCATGACTTCCGTGTCTTCATTTTTCTGAAAGAAAGATGAAAGCACAGCTTCTCAGTTCTGTGACCACTTTCAAGTCGAACCCAACTCCCAAAGTTCCCAACTCCAGCCATACCCTCCAGCCTGGTCCCCTCCAGCGTTCTCCAGCCACATGAGCGAAGAGTGCCCCAGGGTGCAACGGAGCACAGAGCTCGGAAAGCTGAAGTGGGAGGAGTTCTGGGGCACGATGCGTGGCCTGGAGCACGATGTTTTTTTGGACCCGGGGTGTTTTGTGGAGTTGGAAAGAACATGGCCAAAAGTCACATTATTTTTCATTGTGTGTTTTTAACACTTGACAAGTACTGTATGTCTTGTTTACATGGTTGGCGATTGCTTGAGATGTTGATGGGCCTGGAAGTTGCGCTGTCATTCTGTACGTCCAAAGTGATGATAGCACCAAACCCATAGACTATGAGTCCACTTTCCCAAAGCACTGTAGGATGTTCCTACTGCTGGAGGAATCCAATCGGAGCCTTGACCCCCCCAAAACACTGGACATACTGTGCAGTCTCGTGCCTCGAAGAAATCTGGAGCCGAAACAATCCGAAACAATAAGCTAGTAGTAACAAGTGCCACGCTAGTAGTAACAGGTGGCTTACTACTAGTAACAAGAAGCTAGTAGAAACAAGAAGCTAGTAGAGACTCTTTGTTGTGTCCTGGTGGACCAGACGAAGCTTCGGCCACCGTCCGGTCGCTCCAGTCGTAGCGATGCGCCGTTCGATGCGCCGTTCGCTTCGCGTCCGATCGCTCCTGACAACTGACAATATGCTACATATATATATATACTTTGAATGGCAGTTGAAGCAACCGACCGATGGAGAAACCACCACCAAACAATACCAAACATACAAACACCTTATAACTTCGGAGGAAGTGGCAGATGGTGGCACGAGTCTTTGGTGCACCATTCGCGTAATTCTCGGGTGACCTACTGAATCCACGACCGGACCGGAGACCGATGGGTCGGCCACGCAAACCGCGACCCGAGGCACTGGAAACCGGGACCCAATCAGATACACGGCGCAGGCCTTGCAGATGTTTTTGGAGGCGTGGATTTGCTGGGAGAGGACGCTTGTGGAGAAGCTGAGCTGTCTTTTTGGGGAAAAAGTGGACAGTGTCTTAGCTTCCTTCCAGGCGACCCCTGTTTTCTGCATGCTTGTTTGAGGAAATTGTTTGTTTGAGGCTCTTCGAGTGGCATGACTTTGTCCATCAACCGCATTGTCCGCATTTGTTCATTGGTTAGGATCATACCACATTGATCCACCTAGTCAAGTCTAAGTGTTTCTGTTTTTCACTTCCTGATCCTGGGCTGTGGAGTTCATATGAGTTAATGGCGGGTAATCAAGACTTCCTTGACACCATCCTAAAGAGCTTGAGCCACTTGGGCTTATTGAGGTACTGTAGGTTTGTGTGTGCAAAAAGGGGTGCCCTGGGAACCTGACCATGACATGGGATTCTGGGTCCGAACCCACTAACAGTTGGTAAACCGTGGTTATTTGGTTGAATCCTATCCCTACAAACTTCCCTCAGTTTGCTATATTGGACACATTGTTTTCCTTTGCCATGTGTGTTCTACCAGTAGTCCAAGGCAGAATCATTTGTTGATGAGAAGAGGTCTTGGACCACCGGCAAATCTGTGTGCACTTCCAAAGAACAGTCCCACATTGGCTCGAGCTTTTGCAAGGCATTTCCTTTTGCACTCATGGTTGCCCCTCAGAGATTCCACATGGGCTGACTTGCGTTCCATTTTTGTCGGATGCATGTTCCTACTTGTTTTGATGTACGGCACTGCACTTGTGGTGTGTCACCAACCAGTTTGACCCAGCCACCACTATTGACGGTTTGCACGTGAGGCCACGGGAATCGACGTGAGGCCGCATGAACAGCCAACAGTTGGTAAGGTTGACACCATCACCGGGGTAGATTTGGTGATCTCCTTGTATTATCTTGTATTGAGACACACCCAGACATAGCACTTTCTCTGCATTTCATGGGCCATGAGAATGGGGCCAATATGGGCCAATGGCATTGATCAATCAATCTGTTGACCCATCCAGAAACTGTGGAGCACCCAATGTTGTTTTGTCTCAGTGCACAACTCGTAAGTCTTTTGCGTTGCAGACGATGCTTCACGAAACCACGAATCTCGTGCCAGAACTACCAACGTGGCGAGCCCTTCGCTCCGCCCCTTGGGAATGTGTGAGCTGGATTGGAAGGCCATTGCAAGTTCCCCTGCCTCTTCTCTTTTTTTCCTCTCTCTCTCTCTCTCTTTGTTTGATCGTTTTGGCTTGAATAAATTGTATTAGGATGTTCAGATGAATGAGTAATACGATGTTTTGAATGGTAAATGTCAGAACCAAGTCCACATTGTCCATAGCTATTTTGCATAACCGAACTGATTTGTGTTAACATCCGGCGGGGTAGTTTGAATTCCATCAACTGTTGGGTGCCTTTGGTGGACTTCGGGACTTTGAGTCCATCAACCGATTTGTGGCGTCCAAGGGTTCCTTGGAAACTATGGAAATTAGGAATGTCGACTCGGCCACCTGAGTATCCTTCGGATGTGGTCCCGGTCCCCGGCCTCGGTACCTGACTGGTTGGATCGGTTGGTGCGGTCTTAAGGGTCGATCCACGTCCTGAAGCATCCACGGTCGCAAGTCGAGCAAAGTGTGTGGAAGGGACCCGAAAGATGGAATGAATCAACACGTGCAGTTGTGTTCTGATGGTTTTGTCATGTTTTGTCATCGGGATGGACTCTTCCTTAGCTCATATGTGGCGAAAGGTTGAGTTCCAGTGTGCAGTAGACCCCAGGACACCCAGTACCCCAAGCTGAAGAGCTCAGGATCTTGAGCAAAGTCCTCCGCTTGCGGGGAGCTCCTCGGCTGAATCGGATGGTAGCGTGACATGTTTGATGTTTGGCTCCACCGTCTCGATGAGAACTCGCTGGCGCCAACACGTCCGTGAGGAAGACGATCCGAAGGTCGGACGGGCCCTTCGGGTGAAACAAGGTCAGTCAGGCAAGGTCCGGCTGTAGTTCTTTGGCAAGACAGGCCGCGTCCCGATGTCGATCCGCCGAGCTTACGCCTGACTTGCCTCGCAAACCCAAACACCTGACTTGCTGGCCCGTCAACCAGCAACATGGTCACTCCATGTGCGAACTGAAGAAAAGAAGCTAGTAGAAACAAGTGCATCGCTTCTAGGAACAAGTGCCTTACTAATAGTAACAAGAAGCTTCTAGGAACAAGTGCCACGCTACTAGTAACAAGACAATGACATGTTCACTCCATGCAAGAACTAAATACTGTTATGCTCACAGTTGGAAGAACAAAAACGAAACCTTACAGGTCCAAAACCTGTGTTTGTTTCAGCGTCCAAAACCTTCCCATATGCCAGCACAACACATTCTCAGCAATTCCAAGTTTATGACTAGTGGCAGCCCAAGTGCTGGACAGTGGATGCACAGCAGTGACTATGAACTGGCTTTCAGTGGCGTTGTATAAGAACAAAATCCGGATGGTCCTACTTTAGGTTCTCCACTCAAGACCAGCTCCGTCCTGCAAAATGCTTTGCATATCTGAGCTTGGCACAGAACCAGCCCCGAGCGAACCGTGCGGCTGAGGTGCCCTTCCAAAGTGAACTGCAAGACGTCGTTCGGTTCCTGTGCGGGACCTGCGGGTGGGGTGGGCGGACAGCGAGAAGAATGTAGCCTGGACAGCACTGACTTCAGCAACTTCTTAGAGAGATGTCAAGGGGAAGGCGATCGAGAACATGCCATGACTTGGGTCGATCTCGGCTGGTTTGGGCATCATTTTCTACTTCCTTTCTTGTGAAAAGTCAGTGTGACCCCGTTGAATGCCCTCTATCTTCAGGCATCTTGAGGCAATTTGTGGCTAAAATAAACACCGTTTTGCAAGAACGAATCTTTTGGACTATACGTGCTACGTGCAAACGATCACTAATAATCAGTTGATATCACTGATATCAGCTGCAGAACACAGCAAGTACAAAACAAGCTCAACCTCATGAATGGCATTTCAGACATGCGTGGCATTGTAGCCCACTGGAATTACAAGCTTTCCAGCTTGCTCCACCGCATCAGATAGACCAACATAGTCACATCCCTCACTATTATTAAGATCTAATTCACTGGTTCTCAGTGCCCACACAGACACTGTAGTGTTTTGATCCGGACCACCAGACGCTACTAGGAGCAAAGGGCTCCTGGCCTTGCTCCTAGGAGCAAGGCCGCTACTTCCCAAGTCTACCGGACTCTTCCCATCCTTTGGCCTCTTATCTAGCATAAGAGCTCCCAACGCAACGTGTCAGGGCGGAGTATGGCATTGATGGGAGCTGCGTGGTGGTCGTTCTAGGCCCTGACGGCCGAAAGACCGGTGAGGCGCGAGCGTCGAAGAGGGTCGTCGAAGAGCGTCGTCCACTCTGACTTACGGAGTCTGAAAGTACCTTGTCCTTAGGACAGATGAGACAGATGACATGATATTAGAGAAGAACATATTATACGAATTGGTAGTTCCATGGGCCCTGATAGCCCTGAAGTAGTTGAAAGCGAATGGAAAAGAGGGGATGGCAGTCCTTCAGAAGCAGCTATGCTAGTAGCGTCCTTGCTACTAACTAGTAGCGATGCCATGCGATGCCCTTGTTACTATTAGCGATGCCGGGAGATACGTTCGTAGCGTCCTTGTTACTTCCCAAGTAGCAGATGGTTTTGATTTTGGCTGTCACGTGCTGACGGAGTGGTCGTTTGTCCATATGGTTTGGCTGGTCATTTGTCCTGCCAGACGTCCGAGGTGTACGTCACCTTTCCCTCGGAGGGTGTGGCTGAGAGGGTGCTGCAGGATTGGTAGACTGGGGCTTTTGGGTCGCTGTACGTGGGGTTGGTTATTTTTGCTTTGGAAGCTGTCAGTGGCCAGCGTGTGTTGGGGTTTTTGGAGGCTTGAGACAAGAACCCCCTTTGGTTTGGCTATGTTTGGCTATAAGCATGCTGAGGCCACCCGCAGCTAAGGAGCATTAAACAACTGAGGGGTGGATTCCCAGATTTTGAAGAAGGCCAAAGGGCATGCCCACCTGTTCATGAAACCAAAAGGTGCAGATGGAGGTGGAGATTACCTGAGATTTATGGGATATCCTGATGTCCTATTATGTCTATGCAAACTTTCTAGTTTGGTGCCAGCATGGCATCCCAGGCACGAATCGTCCAGGAATCGTAAGCTATTTGCGCTTTGTTTATGAACATGCCTTTTCGGCCATGTTCTTCACATGGCTCGAGAAGCACCTTTTTTCTTTACACGGCTAGAAGAAGACCAACAGACCACAACAACTTGGGCAAATAGAGGTGAACCCAGGTGAACATGAACTGTCGTCAAACCATGGGCACATTGGACACCATGGGCATGCCAGCCGTGGGTGTTAGGTCGAGCTTTGGACGAGGTCGTTGACATGACGACCGCAGGGCGCAGGGGATGTAGATGAGTTGAATCCAGTGAGACGACAGGAATAGGAGCCCTAGTAGCGTCCTTGCTCCTAGTAGCGATGCCAGGAGCCCCTAGTAGCGTCCTTGCTCCTAGCATTAGGAACTTGAATGAAGCACAATGATCTTGACAGTTTGACCCGAGTTCCAAACCACGTGGTTTCTGCAAAAAGCATGGAAGGGAAGGGGGGAAGATCCATTTCTGCGGCACACCCAGGTTTGTGCAATTATGTAATTTTCATATCGCATCTACAACTTGATCAAAATGTCCCACCGGCAGGGGGACAACCCGCCAAGCGCAGGTCAAAACCTGAACCCCCAGAGAATGACCTTTCCCGGGGACCGTCCATTTGGCTCCTTTTCCGGGGCCTGGTTTCAGGGTTGCACCCGACCCTGCACTTCTGTGAAGACTTGTCTTGCTGATGTTTTTCACATATGCCACCACCAGAGCGACAAAGCGAAGAAAGGTGAACTATCTTGCACCTCAGAAGCCCAGCACAAACATTGAAAGAGGCACAAGGGGTTCTCGGAGTGTTTCGCCAGGAGAAGCAACGCCAGGAGATCAACGGTCGATACATTGAGATCTTCAGGCAGCAATCAACTGCACATGTTGACATCGGTGTGAGACAATGTCCATGGCACAAGTTATGGTAAGTCCTGATCAGTTGCTTCGTGACCCTCCACCCAAACGGTGTGTTTGTGAAAACAAGAGCCATACATGGCCTCAGTCAAGAACAACAGACGTCTATTGCCAAGATCTCCAGCTTTGGGGTCCTTTCTACACTCCGACTCCGACTCACTAAAGTGAAAACAGTAGAACAGTAGAGCACTGCAGTTTGTGGAGGAATACAGTCTTCTCAAGAGCCAGCACTTTCATAGTTCTTTTTTGTCAAACTGAGTACTATGTTTGCTTTTGGTGACCAAATTTTGGATTTTTTGTCACTCCAGCTCTCATTGTTCTTGGGAAATCTTGGTAACGCAGTCCCATCACTCCATGTCCATTGCATGCGACTCAAGGTTTCCTCCTTCAAACGCAATCGACCAAAGACTTGGCTAGATCACCCTGCAAAGATGCAGTTTTGGTGCGGCGGTATACAAAGCTTGTGATCATAACCATCGTTTGGAAACTCCATCTCAACCGTTTGGTGTGTTCATTAGCCATCGTCTGGGGCTCATTGACGCACCCCCCAATTCTGATCGCGCATTATTATCAGTAATCCGCATGTCAACCGGACCCTGGGCTTTGTTTCAACGTGTTTCAACCACTTCTACGGCCAAGCAGCAGAAGAAGGTGGTGCCACAGGTTGAGAAAGATTTTATGGTCAACTTAGAGTGGATCAGTGCTGCCTCCACGTGAAACTGTCGGGATGCCAACAGAGTCCATCGAGAGTTTCATGAAGTTCTCCATTTTTGTCATGGCACTTTTGTCGATAGGAGAGGAGACCCATCATTTCCTTAACACATGGCTGGATCAAGAACTACAAAACGGAGCGGTTGATGGGTAGAGGATTTGTAGAGCCTGAGATATCCCCGGTATTTCGTGTATGCCAGCTAGGTGGCACAGGATGACTCGATGGACTCGGTGGGTTTGTGGGACACATTGATCCACCAGATCAAATGATGGTCTGGGTTAAACCACGATGGTCTCTGCACATCCTTTCCTTCTATGACTTCTACTATGTGACTACGTGTATTCTCAACCCTCTCAAAGAAAAAGAGCTGGATTTAGACAATCATGCTCCATTGCCAGGTGGGCTAATGCTGATAAACGATGCCTTGATTCACCAGGGTGCTCCCCCATATTCAGGTTGGACTTTGAGTTCTGAATATTCTTGGTGGTGTATGATTCTGTTTGTCAAGCACATGTCAGATTTAAGAACCGTGGGAGACATTTTGTCTCCAAAGCCAAAACCTATATGCAGAAGGAGGGTAAGAACTCCTGAAGACGCCTCCCTTCAGGGCCAGTGAAGAGGATCGTGAGGAAGCCCGCGTGCTTCGGCGTGGTATCGGCTGGCTGGAAGACCTCAGACAATTTGGGAATACTCTAATACTGATTTACTGTAACTGCAACTTGCCAAGTGAAGAAGGAACTCTGACCGGTCCTTACCCCACTTATTATGTCTCATCAATGAACAAATGAGATACACATTATGATTCGGTTCTTGGGTAACATCATGTTCCAGATCGTCCATCTGACAATACGGTTTCGAGCCAAGTGGACAATACGGTTTCGAACCAAGGTGTTTTTCGTTTGGATCGAATCTTCTGACATAGCACACCTTGTTCCCCCCAAAAAAACAGTGTTTGTGTTGGCTATGTCACTGAGAGACCTGGCGAGTCGTGTGGGTTCTCCTAATACGACCGCACCTAGTGACCCGGGTCACGACCTGAAGTGACGACACCCCAAAAAACGGGCCGTATTCCTAGAGGAAGAGGGGGGAATAAAGCCTATAATTATATACTTACTAAGAGGGAAATGGGTCCATTTCCCCCAGCTCATCTCACCTTGCACGGGTGCAGAGCTCGCCGAATGTTCCATGTTTTTGGTGGAATAGTTCGGCGCAGCATAACGCTAGCAGCAGCGAGAATGTAAATTAAAAGCGCAACAACAAAACGCAATTATGTGGGCACAAGAGCGTCAAGGGAAAACCATTCCCCCATAAGAGTCTTCACTGTGGTTCAGTGGATTCCCAGGATTGAGCGCATGTGCATCTGCAGACCGGTGGATGAAACTGAAACACTTGCATTCGAAGAACTTGAGTTTCACGTTCGAATCTCTTCATCCAGGGTGTAACAGTGTAGGAAAGATAGGCCAACGTCCACGCCTTTCGGACGTTGTGTCGTAATGGCAAGGCAATCTTTGACGCCTATCAGGGCCACGGTGTCCACGGTGGTGGCTGTGGTGGCTGTGGCTGTGGTGGCGGCTTAGCCGCTGGACATGGCCTCGCTGCACATGGCCTGGCGTCTCAGGGGCGACTTTTGAGATGCAGTCTGCGTTTTCACCGAGGATTTTCTCCTTGCAAACTGTAGTCATGTGTTGGGTCTGTCCTACTACCTGTAACAGTCAATGAACAATTATAATCCTTTTTAAACAAGGCCTTTACGAACCATCATCATCCACTGTTGCAGGTAGGATAGACCCAAGTCATATGTATAATAAAACAGAAAAAACGTGTCATAGACCCGAGTTTCAACTTCGAATCCAGGAGTGATTTCAGACTCTAAGAGCACACCAGATGGAACCTCTGTGGGTGGTCACACTTCCACGGGCATTACATTGCACACACATTTTGGCGATGTCTAGGTCGGGAGTTTGGTATTTTTGTAGTATATAGCATCGACTGGTTTTTGAGTTTGCCTAGTTCCATAACAAAAGAGTTGTTGGTCCCGAATACCTTCCGTCCTCACTACAATGCACTTCACATGTCCCATTTTCGAGTGCCAGCAAGTTGCAAGAAACAACAACCTTTAGAACCGTCGCTGTTGTGTTTCAGTGGCCTCGATTGGAGTCGTAAACCGTTTGGACGGTTGTTTTGATTGGATCTGCTCCAGACTGCTTTTCTTGCTTTTCCTTGCTATTCTATATTGCTTCTCTGAAAGAGTGCTCCCGCTTTTCCGGCTTTTTATGCTTTTCTGTGCTAGTCTTGCTTTTCATTGCTTCTTCGTGAATGCAATTTGTATTACTTGTCCTGCTTTGCGCTTGGTTTGTTATTCCTGGCTTTTCTCCTTTACTTTTCTTATTCTCGTCTTTTTGTGGCGTATTGATTCCCTATCGTAATGTGTTATGTTTTTCTTTCTCTGGTCTTTGTTGCTTTCACTTTTGATAAGTTGGTTTTCAACCCTTGAGTTTGTTCTAGCTTTGTATACTTTTCCCACTTTTTGTTTTCTGCTCCACTGGTGGTCGTGTTTTTGTGCACCTTTAGGGCCTTTAGGTATAGGTTTTCAGTTCCGCTGAAGGAACTATAGAGAAACCACGACCGAATCCTGGGGTCCTATCTTTTTGCCTCAGCTCGGCTGAAAATGCATGATCTGTTGGTACACCCAGCAATGGATGTGCTCTGTTCCAATCGGATGTGGATGTGCCTCGAAATAGGGCGGCAACAATGAACAGCTGGCGAAAAGTAACTACGTCACTACGTATTCAACAAACATACTATATGCGTGAGACTGATACAAAACTGAAACCTTTCACAAAATCAACATCAGCTTTGCACCACAAGTCTGAGCGGCTTCTTTCAAGCCGAATCCTGGAAAGCACCTGGACTTGTCCGGAAGCCAACCCTTCCATGTCTGGTCATTGGCTTGCAACCAGCGGCCAAACATATTTTCCCAACGCAACACCGTTCCAGTTCTACTGAAGGAACTATAGAGAAGCCAGGACCGCAAAAAGACATTCCCCCAAATAAAAGCCGCCAAACCGGACAAAAACCAAACCGAAACTCGGCACCACTTCAACCGTTTCAACGCGCTGCCCGACCTCCATTCACCTACCCGGACCTACCTCCACGCTCATCGACGCTCCGGCCGAGGTCGTGGTTCTTCAGCCTCCTTCGGTGGGGGCGACGGGAATAAGGAGGCCTTGGTCATGGAGGCGGAGCAATGTCTCAATCTTTGGCTTCTATTGGGTTAATGTATTCTTGATTCAAGCCAAATGTTCATCCAGTTGATTTGCTCCTGGAATTGCCGTGAACTTAGCTAGACATCCCCATCCAAAATAACATCACCAGGCACCATGTTGCACAGTTTCTTTGAAAGCTCGGACAGGTGAAGCAGATCCAGCGCTCCAGCACCGGCGGACGAGAGAGGCGCAGTTTTGAGCTCGGATGGATGGAGGGCAGCCTTTGACCATGACTATGTAGCTGTGGATGTGGAACACATGGCATGAGGACGATTCGTGTGTTCCTTGTTTTGTTTTGAGTTAACTATGGGGTGACCGGCTCCCAGCAACGGCACCTCGCACCCGAAAGCCTTTTGGAACGGGGAGGGTGAGGAAACTGGAGTGCAACAGGCCAGCATGGATAGCATGAAGGGTTTGCTGGCTGGTTGGGCTTTTGCAGGCTCTTAGGCTCCACAAGCACTATGCCAAAAGGAACTTTATACATTTGATGGAACGCCTTTGGTCAGATGATAAGAGTGCAACAATGTGAAATCTGTCGTAGCACTTGAGATAATTGCCCCTTCAACCCCGTTGCATCGTTGTTGACAGAATAAACAAGTGGAATATATAATATGAAGATCCTACGAGTGGGAGATGATCCGAGGGTATGCTCGTGATAAGGTATGGATACAGAGTCCGAGGAGCGAGGCTAAGAGTAGAAGGTGCAGCAGACGCTGCAGTATATATATATACACAGAGAAATAGCTTAGACATTATTTGTTGCTTTTGGATGCTTTTGGATGTTGTTTGCCATGATAGCAGGTCAGAGCCCTTTCTTCCAGGGGATCCAAGACTCTCCAGAACCAAACTTTTGCCATCCACTTGGTGTTGCCAACTAAACAAGTTGTTCAACTCCTAAGGTTCACCAACGGCCACTTGTTCATGTAACGACCCCTTCTACTCGGTTTGCTCTATGGCTGGCTGTGTTTGGCCGCGTCTAGCTGTGTCGCAGGTGGCAAAATTTCTGCGAAGCCTTGCGGACGGGCAATCGAGACCCTTTACGGCACAGCTGCGAGACCTTGCAGCTTGGCCGCGCATTGGCCAGTGATTGCCGGGGCGGCTTTGGCTCCTACTTTTTATTTTTTCATGTTTTTCCTTTTTTGGGTGCCATGAGTTGCCGTGATAGAGATGTGCATCTCTAGCTTCGCTAGTTTGATGTTGGGTGTGTTGTCGCTTGGAGTTCAGACTGCGGAACATACACGTCCTTTTGTCGTCTCAGCCGAGTTGCCCAGGCAAGCCTTCATCCAGGCTTGGCCCGAAGGGCAGACTGAGCGAGGTCCACAAGTGGGGTGTGTCTTGTGGAGCCGCTCCTACGCCAGTGGGTTTTAGATGGTTTATGATTGTTTCAATTGATTTGCATGTTAAATGTGTGTCTAAGTATATATATATATGATATATATATATAGACGTATATATTTTATAAGGTACCCCCTTTCATGGGACCTATGTTATGTTATGGTAATCTTTCAGGTTTCAGGAGCTTTGCAATCAGGATTTGGGATATCAAAGCGTGTACTATATGTTGTTTCTTGGACATGCAGCATGAGACATATATTCATTCATGTGGCCTTACGTTTGACCAAAATCAGGCAGGCTGTCCCCAACCAAAAAAAAGTAACATTTGGACACAGAACCAACAACACAGAATTCAGTCTTCTCAAAACCTATTTTAAACAAATAAATAGCAATAGTAGAACAACACACACCTATGATCCAGTCAAGCCAGACCAAGGCTTGTTCTTTTTAACGATACAAGACTTCTTTTGTACGATGGGCTTGGTAACAGTTCTAAGTACGAGCTTTGAATTATTTGCAACACCAACAAAAAGAAACCTTGCAATAAATTGAATAAGACGTTGAACAAGGCGCTTTACTACCTTGAGATCAGAATACGTAGGATCTTTTAAAATAAATGTCGTTCACATGAGTGGTCTTGTAATATCATAACAAGCCCTGCTTTACAATACGCCTGAGCGCAAAAGGCACCGCATCCCAATACGAGCCCGTTTGTCACAGGCATTCAAAGACTGAGTCTAATGAGTAGAAGCCAATGCCCCAATTGGTATGAACTTGTGCCCTAAGGAGAAGCCAGCGTTCTAAATCGAAGCCCGACGTCCTGAATATTAAACAATGGTCTCAAAAAATACAGCACAGCTCGCTTAGTTCTTTGCTTACTGTATTAGCAAAGGTCCTCTTGGAACCAGTTGCCCCGCCAGGTTGAATTTTGGAGATGTGCTTTCGATAGTTATATAGATGGGGCTGCCCTTTTGGCCTTTGCCGTGAGCCTGAGCAGCCAGAAGGAAATGCAAGCGCTGCACGGGCAGCGGAGCAGGGCCTGGGGGTGTTGCATGGAGATTGGCCAACAATGCATACTGGATGCAAAATCCCAAACAGTTGCAAGATGAATTGATTGAACATGCTTTCCGTCACGAAGCGAGTGAAAAGCAAACGTACTTCAGTGTGGAGATGCTTTTGGACACCTTTGGCGAAGTGGATGAGCAGTTGGCTGAGAGTTGCGATGCGTGCAACTCTGCTGTGTTCAGCTCCGTGTGGACGGTCATTTGCAGGGCTATCAGCGAAGCGGTGTGGGGAGTGGTAGCCGTGGGCTTGGAGCTGGCAAGCGTATGGTGCTAGTAATTAGAGAGGATGATGAAACGCCAAGGTTTCAAGTACATTGTGCTCAGGCTCAAGTCTTATTCAGATGCAATAGCACTCTGGACAGGAGAGGGGCTTCTGCCATTGAAAGATGCGCCTGACATGGATTGGTGGGGCAACAAGAGTTGCTTCACTATCCCTGTGAAGCTGTCGGACCGTTCATCGGAAGCATTTCAGAATCAGACGCAACTGGGATGTCCCAGCAATAAATGGTTTGACTTGGCGTGACAGAAGCACAGTTGAGCCCTCAGGCTTTCATTTTTTTCTCGCCAAGTGCGCCTGCGTGCGTTGATCATCCATTTTGGGGGATTGAGGCCAACCAAAAACCGAATTTGTTTTCGAGGCAATCCCTTGCAATTCTTTTTCACCCATGCTTGCCTTGTGCTGGATTTTCAGAAGCTGTGCCATTTGCATGAGAGCCATGAGCATGATCATGTTGACGTTGGTCAGTCCCGCCGCCATTTAGGAATTCCTTTTGCCAATCGTGATCACTGATCACGCAACGCTACTGTCACGTACCCTTTTGCCGCCATAGGTGGTGGCTGCCCCGACCTTTGGGCACCGTGAGACGTGCTGGAAAAGACTGAGAGCTCAAGAGCTTGCTGTGTTTTCGATTCGTGGTGGACCTCACCTCTTTCTTTTCGCCTTCGGTAGTGCTGCCAGTATCACATTGATACTGGTAGCGGAGCTACCTCATAGCTCCGTTGCCCTCGAGAGGAACCGTCCGGAGAGGGCATCCTTGCACGAGTTTTGAGGAGATCCAGGGCAAGGTAGTGGACTGGCTGCACGCCTTTGAGTCTCAGTGCACGAGTCATTGAGACCTTAGATTACAAGATCTTGGTGTGGCATTTTGCTAGCACTATTTCCTTGAGGAGGTCTACCTAGCGCTTTGTTCCTAGCTTGGTCCTTTGCACCCTACCCCTTTGCCTTTGACTTGACCCCTGAGTTTGTCTAGGTGAAGATCATGGCTGAGAAAGATAAGGACACGTCCCTTCGTTGCCACTGGGACGGAGACTTTAGTTCCTGGCCAGATTATGTCCGCAAGGTTCGCCTGGCCTACCAGGTGTTTTTTTACTTATAAGTCCTGTTACGCTACTTATACTTATAAGTAACATAAGTCAACTTATCCTACTTATGGACCTTACCGAATAAGTAGGACAAGTGCGATGGTAAGTAGAACATGTTGTGTTTTTGAAGGTTTTGCTTCTTTCTGTGTTTTGGTAAATTTCAACCAGATGCAGCCGCATATTTAAGACATCTGTATTTATATACATATATATATATGTTCGTGTGCACTGGTTGGCGCGCGGCTGGACTTGGCCGCGGCAGTCTGTCTGGGGCCGTGTATATATATATATATAGAGATCTCTGCGGCTCTGCGGAGGTGTCGGAGACATGACACAAACAACAACAAAAACGAGCGGCGCGGAAGCCCCAAACCACCAAAAAAAAGACAAAAAAACAATATTTCCCGTCCCGGTCTTCCCACAAATTTCCCACAAATGATTTCATTGTTTTTCAATCTTCCCACAATTTCCCTTATTAAAGGTAATTGGCAGGGTCTTTCCCACAATCTACTTCCCCAAAGTCTTCCCACAATTTCCCACAATTTTCCCACAATTCCGGGCACTCCGTTTTCTTGCGCCCAGTAAGTGCTCTACATAGGCCCAATGAGCCCGATAGAGGCTTCCAGCTTATACACCTCAGAGACCAGCACGCCCACGGCGTCCAAGGTGTACAAGATGTCGGTTGCAGCTGCGCCCAGACTCCCTCGCTGAGCATATGCGCTGCGTGCGTGTAGTCTTGCACAGGTCGCCGTGCGCGCGTCTCCATGCCTCCCACAAAAATGCTCCCACAGTCTATATTTGCTTAAGCCCAACTGCCAGGACAACCCTCAAAACCTCTATACCCATAAGTAGGTTAAGTAGAAAGTAAGTAGAACATTTTTTTTCGTCATACTTACGTTGTACTTATAAGTATGGAAAATTTTTAACATAACTAGCACAAGTATCTATATAACTACGATAAGTTCCAAGCCATTTTCGTAGAACTTACGCAACTTATCATGGTTAAAACTAGGTTATAACTCTAGTTGTCCCATTCATAACTAAGTTATAAGTATAAAAAACACCTGGTATGAGAAGACCAGGAAACGGCGCCGACCTCAACTTGGACCTGAATTGGTGTCTCAACTATCCGGCCGAGCATGGATAGTCACTCAAGAGATAGACCATCGGCTTCTGACCCAGCCTGGAGGAGCACGCTACTTGATCACCTTCCTGGAGGAACGGTTGGCCAGAGTGCCAATCCCTGATGCAGGCTCTCAAGCTGAGAACCTGCTGTTGAGGTTGAGGAGGACTCCAGGTACCTCCATGGCCACTTGGTGTCACCAGGTTCGAGAAGCATATAGGAAGTTGCAGCGGGCCCTACGTCGTGCTCGAGGAGACCAACCAGATCCAAAGGATGATGGTGCAGCTCCTTCGCATGCTTCGTCACGAGCACGATCCGGCCCTGAACCAGCTGCTGAGGATGATTCCGAGGAAGAGCAAGATCAAGATGAAGAACCTGGACGACCACCTTCAAGACCTGCTTCATCTCCTAAGAGTCGTGGCAAAGGCAAGACCAAAGACCATGCCTCTCCCTCCAGAGGTTCTCGCGGCTCTGGAGGTTCCAGCAGTGAAGATGAAGACTTCTCAACTTTGTGGGATGATCTTGACCTCGGCCTACCAGAAGTGTTGCCCACAGAGCTGATCGGTTGGATCATGTTGAGGAAGTCCGCCCTCAATGCAGCTCAACGTTTGAATGTGCTCTCAAGCATTGGGAACTCGCTCAAAGCAGAAGATGTTGAACGTGGCCTACGAGGAGCTGAAGATGAGCTTCGCCTGGTTGAGCGAGAGAGAGAAGGGCGTCCAAAAGGGCACTCGAAAGGAAAGCATCGCAACACCTTCTGGATTGAGCAAGATGACCAATGGGGCATCCTCCTGACGGAGGAGGCTGATGCTGAGGACATCTTGGAGCAGAACGATGTCCACTGGCTCTCAACGAATGCCCTGGAACAAGCTTTTCCGGCTTGGGAAACTCCATCCACTCCATCATCCAGGCCTGACACTGAAGACCGCTACGGCCAGGAAGATGGTTTCTTTGCAGCAGACCCTCAACTACCAGGCGCCTATGAGTCTGAAGCCTGGAACTCAGTTTTGTGGAGCTCACCTGATGAAGCCAAACCTGTGGTGGAGGCCTATGCGGCCTACGAAGAGAAGATGAGGACATTTCAAGATAGTCGACGTGCTCACGCCGCCAAACAAGCCAGCAGAGGTTTCTTTCCGAAAGGAAAATGGAAAGGCAAAGGCCACGGAAAGAAAGGTAAAGGCTATGCTCGTCCTACCTTCTCGTCTTCCTCTACGGCATCCCCGGTCTTGGCAGTGCATGGTGCTGGAAAGCCTGGGTCTCCTTCGTACTCAGGCTGCTTCATTTGCGGGGCGAAAGATCACGACTTTCGCTCTTGTCCCAAGCGCTCGAAGAGTGGAAAAGGTTTTGGCAGTGGAAAAGTCTTCATGGTTGAGGAGGCGCAAGAGCTTGAAGAGACCTTTGTT